CTGGAAAGGGAGAATACTTCTAAGAAGCCGCTGATTTTGTGGTTATAATCTCTTCAGTGTAGCTAAAATGATGTGTATTTACCTACCCAACCAAACAGAAAAGAAAGGTTATTGGTGGTGATATCAGTTTTCCCACAGTCTATAGAAAGCTTAGACTTCTTTCAAAATCAGACACTGATGTGAGTCCAAATAAAATTTCTAACAGTAGCAAAGTTACTCAGTTATCCATTGGTCTTCCACACTTTCCTCACTGATGACAGAGAGTGGTAGAGAGAGGGGCTGCACATGCTTTTGCCTGGTAGCAACACTGCATGAACTATAGCTCTGGGTTCCTTTTTAATGTAAATACAGTTTGGTTCCTGCCAGAGATACGACTTAATTTTGTCCCTGTTGTTATTGCATTTACCATCACCATGGCCTCATTAGCTGAGTGTAGATTGTCCCTCTAAATATGAATTGGTTTTGGTTTAAATACTTACATTTTATACAAGTTTTAAAGTTTTCAAGTACACGTTTGAGACAACACATGGAAGATGAATGGTAGAATGATCCTTTCAAGTAGATACACATGTGAAAACACAAGTTAGTAATGAGTTTTATGTGTTACAGTTGCTGAAAATGAATTTTTACGAAGGACTGCCTGTTCACCTAAAAGAAAAATATTCTTTGCTGGGGGTTAGAGCCTGAATGCAACATTGCAAAGCTGTTATTTTCCCATACTGCTTTGCTGTTGGTGAATTGCTGCCTACTTGCCTGCATAGTTTCTATTTTGTGGCTGAAACTTCAGATCGACCCTTCCTAAATAATGTGTGGAACAGCACACAAAGCCCACTGCAGGCTTTTTCTAGACGGGAGAGGAAAGGAGAAATGGTTTTGAATTTTCTCTTTCAAAAGTTTTCATAAATATTTCTTGTCACAGCAAAAGATGTAGACCTCTCTGGGGAAAAAAGCAATTCTCAAGTAGACTGTGGTCATTAAAATGTGGGTCATTTTGACTTGACTGTCATGGACTTAAATTTCTTTGAATAATTACTGATAATAAACAAAACTTCAAGACTTGGCAGAACTACTCCAGGAACAAAAGGCGAAGTAGGCTTTCCCAAACTGTGTCAAGCATAAATGAAGCAAATGGATTCTATTTCAGTGGGGCTACCCTTCTCTGATAGCTCTCCCTTACAAACACTGTAATTCAAAACTAACCTATTTCTCCATAGTCTCTGGTACTCTAATAGTGTGGGGGAGAGTGCAAGGCAGAATAAAACAGGTAGAAACAAAATGTAGTGCCAAGTAGCAGTAACTGTAAAGAGGTAATTTGGAAAACATATAGACAAATAAAGTGTGAGAGTCAAAATAATTTTTTTTTAAAAAGGAAATTAAATAGCAACAGAAAACTGAGTCTGACACTTAAAAGTAAGTGTGCAGGATGTGAAAGTGTCTGAATATACAGTTGCAAATTGAGATAACAAAGTACACATTGCTGAAGTTGGCCAGGAAAGCATCCAAATGCCAAGGTGATAAATAGCAAATAGTGCAAATAATGAAGAGCCTGTATTCACAGCAAAGCACAGTGCTTCTATTCTGTACAGAACCACCAGCTTTGCCAGTTTCTCCTTTTCACATTTGCCTTCTGTCATTGATGGTGCTTGCTGAAGGGACCATCAGGGAAGTCTCTCAGTACAGCCACTTCTGTTTGGCTTCTCAAAGACCTTCTCAGGAGCTTAAACACTGTTCCGGTGCCTTACCCTCCTGTGCCTATTTAGTTGCTATTGCTGGGTTGTCTATCAGTGACAGTACAGCATGAGGCTCTGCTGAAGTGTGTTGCTGAGACATGCCTTGGCAATGTTCATGTCGGAACAGTCGCTCCTGTTCTGGTCTGCTGGAACTCCTGACTAGAAGTACAAAAGAGGCAGAATCGTAGGAAGTGCTGAGTTGAAAAAAAAAAAAAAAAAAAAAAAAAAAAAAAAAAAAAAAGGGTAATAAACGA